TTTATTACACGACTCGGGCAGTCAGAGGGCCAATAACTAAAATCAACCAATCAAAATGCTCTATTGCCGGTCAATATTCTCTCAGTATTGGACCGGGCACTGTCCCGAATGGTCCCGAATGATACCGCACTTGTGTCCCTTTGAACTTCAGTCGTATAATAAATCTCTTATTAACCAAGCTTGCTCGGGACCGTACTGGAAGAATATCGGCCCTCGGTCTTTTTTGTACGGACCTCGCTGCGCTCGGTCCGTACTGTCAAGACCTCGGGCCGATATTCTCCCAGTACGGCCCTCGCGCTTGGTTAATAAGATATATTTATTACACGACTCGGGCAGTCAGAGGGCCAATAACTAAAATCAACCAATCAAAATGCTCTATTGCCGGTCAATATTCTCTCAGTATTGGACCGGGCACTGTCCCGAATGGTCCCGAATGATACCGCACTTGTGTCCCTTTGAACTTCAGTCGTATAATAAATCTCTTATTAACCAAGCTTGCTCGGGACCGTACTGGAAGAATATCGGCCCTCGGTCTTTTTTGTACGGACCTCGCTGCGCTCGGTCCGTACTGTCAAGACCTCGGGCCGATATTCTCCCAGTACGGCCCTCGCGCTTGGTTAATAAGATATATTTATTACACGACTCGGGCAGTCAGAGGGCCAATAACTAAAATCAACCAATCAAAATGCTCTATTGCCGGTCAATATTCTCTCAGTATTGGACCGGGCACTGTCCCGAATGGTCCCGAATGATACCGCACTTGTGTCCCTTTGAACTTCAGTCGTATAATAAATCTCTTATTAACCAAGCTTGCTCGGGACCGTACTGGAAGAATATCGGCCCTCGGTCTTTTTTGTACGGACCTCGCTGCGCTCGGTCCGTACTGTCAAGACCTCGGATCGATATCCTCCAGTGGCCACACAGGGAAACCTGGAAGGTCAGAGGACCACCACCTACAAAGTTCGCCTGTCTACAGACGGTATAAAATGGAACACTTACAAAGAAACAAATATTGAAAAGGTATGGCAAGAATAGTAACTGAATTGTTGCAGCAAATCTACTCTCTGGCGTTGTAAAAGTGATATCAGTTAGTTTGAAATAATTACGATATGTTTTTCTGCGATCTTGACATTACCATCTTGTATATTTTAGCTAAAAGATAAATATTCTGCAAACGCTAACGCGGTGTAACACCATAGCAAGGTGTTTTTAAGAGGGAAAGGGTGTACCACCCACTTTAATTTTTCATTTTTTAATTCTGCTTTTGTTTCTGTTCTTGTGCTTGTCTCCGTCTTTGCTTCTTTGTGTGTGTGTGTCATAGTTTTATATTGATTGTTTGTTTTGTTTCGTGCTTTCTTTTTTCGCTTCTCTGATTTTGCAAATCATGATTCTGATATTTTAAGTGGTTGTTGTATAAACCATTAACAAGTCATTTTGAAAAAAAAAATTGATACTCTGTTCAGAAACGTTCGCCCCCGATGAAAACGCCAGTCTCCTATCAACACTTGGTTATCAAGCCAATTTTGAAATAAACTGCGGAGGCGATTGGTAAAAAAAGTAAGGTACAGTATGTTAGAGAGTTGGAAAAAATGAGTGAGCAATAGCTGAACTAATTTGTTTCTTTTGATTAGACC